GCAGCGAACGTCTATTTAAAATGTGTAAGTGATGGAGAGGCTGGAGGGACGACTCAGTGAGTAAGAGTACTGACTGCCCTAGCAGAGTGCCTGAGTTCAGTTCCCAGTACCCACATCTAGTGGCTCACAACTGCCTGTAACTCCATCTCCAGGAGATCTGATGCCCTCTTCTGGCCTCTGTGGGTACTGCATACACATGGTGTATATTTATGCATGGAGGCAAAACATACATAAAATACAAAAAATTACTGTCTTTAAAAATGTATAAATGAAAATTAAAAATCAATTAAGAATTAAAATAACTAATGTTGAATATATTCATTATTAGTGTTATTTCTGAAATTACTCATGTAGAATGATATATAATCCATAAAATAAACCAAGATGTTAAAAATGGAAAAAAAAAGATTACTAATCTCCCCCAAAAAGGTATTGAATTAAGTCTTTAAGCCTGTTGCCACTTAAAAGGACTGTAATTAAACAGTAGTGCAGTGTATGATTGAGTAAAATGAACTGCATATGCGATTATTTTACAATGTCAGTATTTTACAGAATTTACACCGTAGGTACCCTGACCCCCAGTGTTGCTTGGCACTTGAACTTGTTTGCAAAACTGAGCCATCACTGGAGTGACTTTAAATTGTGCATTAAGTGCACCACTCATGACAAATCTGTCTTATTACTATAAAATACGGAGTGACCTCACGAAGTAAGTATTCACGCGTTTATGTGTGAAGCGCCCCTCTTTGCATTCAGCAAGGATAATGAAATGTTTCAGAAAAGCCACCCTCTTCACTGCCGCATAATGGACAGTCTCTTTTAGCCTATTTACCCATAAAAAGCCAAAGCAAATATTAGAACATTCGCAAAGTACATTTAGTCCTCTTCTATGCACTCCCAGAAAGAAAACACCCTTTGAAATGAGCCTGTGATTCCGTATACTCCGTCTCCACCTGCTGCCCAGTCTCTGGCCCATCGATGGTGGAGGAGCGTGATTATTCAGAGGCAACAAGGACATCCTTGTGCCCGCCTGCCCGCCTTCAGCAGCAGTACAGAGCCGGAATTCATGTGGCCATGGGCTCCACTTCCCGTAAAAGGAGGAGTCGAGTAACCAAACAGCCAGCGAGACCTTCCTCCCTTCCTGGGCCTTGAGCGCCAGGCCTCTGCAGATTCCTCCCTTCCTCCTAGAAAGCCTGGCTCCTGAAGGCCAGGGACAGAGAGAAGGGCACATCCGTCCCCCGTCCCCCTGCTGACCTGTCATCCCCTCTGATGCTTTTGAACTGAGACAGGCTTTGTGAGGACCGCTGCAGTGAGTAGCGGGGTTTGCAGGATCCCGTGGGCGCCCTCTCCTGAGACTGTGGGGGTCTTACTTTGCTTCTTCGTTGCTGTGATAAAGACCATCGTCAAGGGTTATTCGGCTGACACATCTGGATCATGGTTCGTTATTGAGGGAAGCTGAGGCAGGAACCTGGAGGCAGGAGCTGACGCAGAGGCCGTCCGGAGCGCTGCTCACTGGCTGGCTCCTTGTGGCTTGCCCAGCCTACTTTAATATAGAACCCAGGACCACCAGCCCAGGGGTGACTCCGCCCATAGTGGGCTGGACCCTCCTTCCTCAATCGCTCATCAATAAAATGTCCCACAGACAAGCCCAAAGGCTAATCCAGTAGAGGCAATTTCTCAGTTGAAGTTCCATCTTCCCAAATGATCATTCTTGTGTCAAGTTAGCAAAACAATAATAATAATTAATAGATAAAATCGAAATTTAAAAACCCTAAGCAGCACAGATTATACCCAATCGAAGCAGCTGAATACCGTGAGCTCCACACAGAGATGTTTGGGGATGAGATGTGAGCCTGTCTCCTATATAGATTTGTAAGAACATGAGACTGTGATATCCTACACAAGATTGGTTTTGTCATTGTTCTCTCTCCTTCTCTCTCTCTCTATGTTTTTCCAGACAGGGTTTCTCTGTGTAGCCCTGGCTGTCTTGGAACTCACTCTGTAGACCAGGCTGGCCTCGAACTCAGAGATCCACCAGCCTCTATCTTCTGAATGCTGGACCTAAAGGCGTGTGCCACCACACCCGGCTAAATTTTACGTACTTTTAAAATGTTGTATATGAGTGTGTGTTTGCGTGTGTGTGTATGTGCACATGTGACCAGTGCCCACAGAGGCCAGAAGAGAGAGTCAGATCCCCTGGAGTGAAGTTGCATACAGGTGGTTGTGAGCAGCTTGGTAGGCGCTGGGAATCAAACCCAGGTCCTCTGCAAGAGCAGCCAGTGCTCTTAACGGCTGAGGCATCTCTGCAGCTGCAAAAGAGTTTTTAATAAGCTTTATTTTAGAATGGTCTGTGGTCTATAGAAAAGTTGCACAGATAGCACAATATGGCCACCTTGCTCTGCTGCGAACGTCTCATAGTCCCACGGCACATTTGTTGGAGGGAACCAGCATGGGTGTATTATTACCAGCCAACCTATATGTATGCCTTATTTACAGTTAATTGGCTTTCCCTGATCCCTCTTGGTACTGTTCCAGGATACCATCTAGAATAAAAACCGTGCTCCAGCCAGTGTCCATGTCTCCTTGGTCCTCCCCAGATCAGTTTTAAGCACTGAAATAGCAAGTGCATTTGGAACTTTATTATAAATCGAACGATTGAGACCATTACCCTACCTGAGGGACTGAGTTCTGGTCCATTTTATCAAAAAATCTACTTTATCTCCCAAATCAAAATATTTTGTTTTTTAAATCGTCACTTGTATTTTATTGGATTAGGGATTGAACCCAGGGTACACTACCACTGAGTTAAAGTATGGTCCCAATTTAAAGCATTTTGGTCAGTGGCAATTTGGAGAAATACCCTTTCATTATTTTTTTAAAGACTTATTTTTATCTTACGTGTATGAGTGTTTGCCTGCATGCGTGTGAGACCGTATGTGTGCAGTACCGATGGGGGCCAGAAGAGGGCATAAGATCCCGTGAACTGGAGTTAGAGGTTGTTTTGACCTGACATGTAGGCGCTAGGAACCAAACCCAGTCCTCTGCAAGAGTAGCAAGTGCTCTTAACTGCTGAGCTATTTCTACAGACCCAAATATTCTTTCCCTTTTGTAGCAGGAATCTCAAAAGTTCTTATTAAAACCAAACCTGAGCCAGGTATTGGAGTGAACACTGGAAGATCAGAGAACCAGAACAAGCCACAGCTTCCTCACCTCACCGGATCCTCAGCTGGTCTTGTTTCCTCAGAGTGGAGGCCTCTGAGTCCTCATCCAGAATGGGTCTCAGCTGAATTGCTGCTCAAAAGCCTGAATGCTTAACCAGGCCAAATGCTTCTAGTTTCTGGTCTTCATGCCTTATATGTCTTTCTGCCTTCTACCATCACTCCCTGGGATTAAAGTCTTGCTTTCTGGGATTAAAGGCGTGTGTCACCATGCCTGGCTGTATCCTTGAACACATGGATTTCTGCCTAGCTCTGCCTCCCAAGTGCTATGATTAAAAGCGTGTGCTACCACTGCCTATCCTCTATGTTTAATATTGTGGCTGTTCTGTCTCTGACCCCAGATAAGTTTACTAGGGTGCACAATATTTCGGGGAACACAATACCACCACACCCTTTTGTGGGGGCTGTTAGAGACAGGGTTTCTCTGTGTAACAGCTCTGGATGTCTTGGAATTCACTCTGTAGACTAGGCTGGCCTCCAACTCACAGAGATCTATCTGCCTGCTGGGATTAAAGGTGTGCACCACCAAAATGTTCAAACCGGTCAAAATGTTCTTTCTTTCTTTTTTTATTAACTTATTTTTTTAATTTTATGTGCATTGGTGTTTTGTCATGGGTGTTGGGTTCCCTGGAACTGTAGTTACAAATAGTTGTAAGCTGCCATGTGGATTCTGGGAAAGGAACCTGGGCCCTCCCAAAGAGTAGTCAGTGCTCCTAACCACTGAGCCATCTCTCCAGCCCCCAAATATTCTTTCTTATATTGGAATAACATTAGCAAAAACTAGAAGATCTTTCCCATGACTTGCTTTCTTCCAGACAGTTACTGTTACATGGACAGTCACATCAGGAAAATGTATTATGGCTGTGGGCATAACCAGGGTGGATAAAGGTCACTTTTTGGTTTTTTCAAATGAACAGATTAGTTTCCGTTTGGAAAGGCTGATAGCCAGATTCACAGAATGGTCTAAATACAACATCATCTTTATGTTGACTTCTGCTAACCCGTGATTCTTGTGCATGTGCTTACAAGTGTTGTTACAGAGGAGGAGACTAAGGTATGGAATAATAGAATCCGAGGGAAAAGCTGTGTTTGCTCAGTCAAAGGGCTTTAAAGGGGGGGGACCCTGCTCACAAGACCACTTCACTCTAAAAGGAAGTTAGACCTAGCGTGCCTAGCTGAAGCAGTAGGTGACTGAGGGGTTCACATTATATGTGTATATTAATGGATACATTAAATGTTTTCCTTTAAAGTAATACAATTAAATTACTACTCCTTGGTACCCGGAGCCTAACTGGGCACGTAGCTCAAATGATTGCTTATTGGTAGAAGACATTCATTCTTGTCGTCATGAAGGTAATTTGTTCGGGAGCTTGGCTTACTTATTTCACGTGAACCATTTAGGACTGAACTATATTGGTTTACGCTATAGGAACTTTTGAAGACCTGAGCAGGTACAGATGTTATGGTAGATGGCGATGGTGGATAATGGCGGTGGTTTCATGAAGAACTGGAATGCAGGGAACATCTGAGCCTTGCAATGGAAGGCACTCGGGGGGATGAGCTGTCTTATGAGCTGTATTATTATTATTATTATAATACAAGAAATGCCTGCCATGCTCCCCAGAATATGCTAACTTATGAAAGAAATGACTGGGCGGCCATGTGTAAGGAAACTTGGCGGTGCGTACCGCTTATGGTTGACTATTTGTGTCACAGCCAGTGTCTCGGGAGCTGGCCCCGCCAACAAGCCCTCTGACGGCCTACGTCTCTCTCTCCCTGAAGGTCATCAGCTCCATGAGCTCCCTCTCTGAGTACTGCCTGCCTTCCATCCTGCGGACGCTGTTTGATTGGTACAAGAGGCAAAACGGCATCGAGGACGAATCACACGAATACAGACCGAGAACGAGCAATAAGTCCAAAAGGTACTTTCTTTTGGAGTCAGGATGCTGTATTTCATTCCTGCCTCTCTCAGGCCCCCTCTTTCCAATCCGCATCAAAATGAGGGTTATGTGGCACCCCGGCCTCTCGGACTTCACAGGAGGAGCCCCGGCAGAGGCATGTGGGGTACCCTGTCACTGACGGCTGTCACCGGTTGGAAATGCACAGGGCCTTGTTTATACGTGTGTTGGGACAGGCTGACGTAGGCCCCAGGTCAGCATCTTGCTCACTTCCCTTTCTCTACAGTCCCCACTCCCTGAGTCTATACCCAAGATCAGGCCACTGAAGGCTCAGAAACTCCCTCAGACATTTTAGCCTGTTAGCCAGGAAACCCGGAATGCTTAGTGAACCATGGTAGAAGGGTCCCCGCTGTGGCAGTCCTGAGGCTGGCCGTCTCTCCGTACCTCAGTGTGAGGGAAGTTAAGTTCATGTCTGTGACTTCTCCTGACAGCTGAGAGCCGTGTCTGGTACTCTATGATCCCTCTTCCCTGTGTATTTGAGAAGTGGAATTCACCAGAGCCATTCAGCAGCTGACAACATTCTCATGGGCTCAAGTTAATGTGTGCCTCCCAAATATTAGGCAGACATTTCCTAAGTTTGAAGTTAATATATTATACCTAGGCACCTGAGGAAAGAAAAGAATTATGGATATGAAAAGTGATTGCTAGAACTTTAAAAAAAAAATAATAATCAGATGCTGGGCCGGAGGGACGGCTGAGCATCTGAAGTTATGTACTGCTCCTGCAGAGGACCTGGGCTGGTTCCCAGACCCACATCAGGCATCCCACAGCCATCTATGTCTTTGGGAATCAGATTCTCCTTCATCTTCTTGGGCACCTGCGCTCATAATTAAAACAAAAATGAATCTTTCAGAAAAAAAGAAAGCATTAAAAAAAAAAGAGGCTATGTTAAGTGGATCTATTTCTCCATGTGAATTCATTGTACATTTTAAAAATGCCTTGAAACATAGTAACTTGAAATCCACAACTAAAAATCAGAAAATCAGATACCTACTGCTTTCAAGTGGTTTAACCTTTCTCTCTCTCTCTCTCTCTCTCTCTCTCTCTCTCTCTCTCTCTCTCTCTCTCCAGGGTTTCTCTATGAAGCTCTCTGGCTGTCCTGGAACTCTCTCTCTGTAGACCAGTTCTGGCCTCGAACTCACAAAGATCCGCCTGCCTCTGCCTCCCAAGTGCTGGGATTAGAGGCATGCACCATTACCCAGCTGTCTTTGTTTTTCTTGATAAACCTGATAACTTTGTTTAAAATTTTTTTATTTAAGATCTATAATTTTACCAAATACAACAGCTTAGTTTTATAAAAAAAAAAAAAAATGCTTGAGTTTCTGCAAGATTCAATCATATTTATCACTTTGTTTGAAGAAGCAATGGGGCCGGGCAGTGGTGGCACACACCTTTAGTCCCAGCGCTCCGGAGGCAGAGGCAGGTGGATCTCTGTGAGTTCGAGGCAAGCTTGGGCTACAGAGTGAGTTCCAGGACAGGCTCCAAAGCTACACAGAGAAACCCTGTCTCGAAAAACAAAAACAAAACAAAACAAAAACAAACAAAAAAAGAAGCAATGGGTAACTTTTTCAGGCTGAGTAAGTTTTGAAGTAATTAAAAAAAGAAAAGAAAATCAGAGCCTCACTCTCTAGCTGGGCTAGCCTGGTACAAAAGAAAATCAGAGCCCCACTCTCTAGCTGGGTTAGCCTGGTACACTCAGCAGACCTCCTTTTCCAAGCTCCCAAGTCCTGGGCTTACAGGCACGAGCTGCGGAAATGCCCAGTGGCACTGTCTTTATCCTGTAACAGTCGCTGCCGTAAAGTGTGTGTTCGGAGTTCTCGGCAAGTTCTCAGCTCTGCCCAGCTCTCACCACTATCTGACTCCACGGTGTTTTCAGATTCCAAAAATAAAGCCTGTCCCCATTATCAGCCTCCCTTTAATCTTTTCTTTTGTTTATTTTCTGATTTTTATTTTATGTATTTCCCTGCATGTGTGCATGTGGACCACATGCATGCAGTGCCCATAGAAGCCAAAAGAGGGCGTCAGATCCCCCTGGAACTGGAGTTACAGATGGTTCTGAGCTGCCATGTGGGTGCTGGGAACCCTGGTCCTTTGCAGGAGCAGCCAGTGCTCTTACCTGATGAGCCGTCTCTCCAGCCCCTTGGCAGTCTTTCTTCAAGAAGAACTTTCTTTTTTGAGACAGGGTTTCTCTGTGTAACAGCCCTGGCTGTACTGGAACTCACTTCGTAGACCAGGCTGGCCTTGGACTGAGAGATCCGCCTGTCTCTGCCTCTTGAGTGCTGGGATTAAAGGCGTGCACCACCACCATTTGGCCCAAGAATAACTTTTTTTTTTTTTTTTTTTTTTTTT